GCCATCTTGTGATTCTCTAACCATAGTGAACTCAATATTTTTTTTTCCTGCTAATATCGCAGTTTTTGAGGACCAAATTGAATTGAACCCCATTGTTGTGCTAAAAAGTTTCTTGTTTTGCTGTCTTTTAGGTTGGTTTTCTGAATTAAGATGATATCGAGATTGTAGGACTTTAGAAGCGTGAGTGTTCTTTGTGCTTTAGGTCTATTGTTTAGACCTTTTACATTAAGTGTAGCGATTTTAAACATGAAGATAGATAAGAGGGTAGGGTTACACTAAGAGGAAGTAGTCTTAGTGTTGATTCCTTAGCCCTGGTGCAACCCGAGAGGTGATCTCATAAACTCTGTGTTGTTGACCCGGATGTGTAAGTTTCCTTTCCTCCTCTTCTTTCTTTTTGCTATTTTTGTTGTTTGATTTCTTGTAAGAAACTACTGTAAATGGTGTTTCTTGTAAGGTGTTTTGGGATAAACTTGGTTCTTTTAAGTTCGTTAGGACTTCCATTTTTGAGGCAGTTGGAGCAGGTTTATCCAATTCTTCTGCTGCTGATTCAATTTCCATTTTTTGTGGTACCAAACCTGTATTATTTGGTGTTAGAACCTCTATTATTTCTGCCCTTTCCGTTTGGGCCTCACCCTTTGTATTTGTTGAGGTATCCTGAATATAAGGGTTATTTGGGCTGAGAATAGGAATTGGAGCTGGAGTATTATGAGTGATCTTTCCTTTTTTTTATAGTTTAGCTTCTTTTAGTAAGCATCTTGCTTCTATAGAAGCTTTAAGTTTATTATATTCTTTTTTAATGTGGCCCTTTTTTTCGCAGTAATAGCAAACCTTAGGTGCTTCCTTCCATTTAGTTGTTACTTTATGATCACCTACGTGGGTGCATCTTGGAATTCTGGAGTGTAAGTCCGGGTCATCTGTTATTTCGAAGGTAATTAACCATTGATCTGAACAGATTGTTGTCCCCTCATATAAGAGTGGTTTTATTGCGGCAACCTGGCCGACATCTTGGAATGCTTCCAGAATAAGTTCCGTGGTATTTTCTAAGTCCCCCATTGGTGTATTTCTGAGTTTCACCGTGAGAAAAGAGCGCTTGAGGTTAATTGGAATGTATCCAAAAAAACATTTGCTGAAAGATAGTAATCCCTTCTGAGGCATAAAATTGTGCCTTTTAAAAACTAACTCAAGAGAAGCTCTTCTCCCTTTTATTAAATGAGTCTTAGCTGCTAATAGGTCACCATTAAGTTTCAGTGCAAGTGTTGCAATTATGTTATTGGTGGATATATTGATCAGGTTCTGTATGTCAATTATCAGTGCATTGTCATTTTTGGATAGGATTTTGTATCTAGGCGCTATATTGGTAAAACTAGCTTTTCCTCCCTTGAGCTTGGGAAAGAGGTCTGTCAATTGCTTTGTTTTAGTTTCCTTGGCTAGAGGTGTAGATGCACTTGTGGGTACTATAGCTATGCCCGAAGTAGTTGGAACTGTCTCTTTGTGTTCCCTGTTAATCTAACACACATTTTTGTCCAGGTGATTATTGTCTGACTGATTCACGTGTTCGACTATGTTTACTTTGTCTGTATCATGCACGTGTTTATTAGCCTGTTCATTGTTTACCTTATCTTTAAGTTCTTCTTCCATTTGAGTTGCCCAACTTGTAGTAGTTGCTGCGTCCTTAAGTTTTTCTGATGTCTTTGTATTTGAGAGCTGAT